CATCTTCGTAAAGAACAAGCGAGCGGAAAATGCGTTACGACCGATAGCATACACACGAATCGCACAATCCGCGCCCTCGAGCAACGACCGTAGCGCTGCAGGTTGCAGACGCTGGAGGCGGCTCTGGGCCACCCAAGCGAGATTCGAACGGATGGGAAGCAAGACGGCGAGAAAGCAGCAGGCAGGACGAGACAAGAAGGACCAGCGAGCCAGAGAGAGAGAGAGAGAGAAAGAGACGAGAGGCAGGGACAAGCAGAAGCACGCAACCAAAGACCGCGAGAGACAGCCATGCGCAATCAGGATTCCTGGCTCTGCCCCGGGCTTCCGCCCTCGAGCTCGCCTAAGAGCTGCTGCGCACGCCGCTCCGGGCTCCCTTTGGGCGCCTGGCCGGTCAGGTGCGGGTGTCCCAATACCTTCATGGTTGCCATCACCTGCAGTTCAACGTTGCGCAACTCCGGCGCTAGACGGATGCACAGCTTGGCGTGCTTCTGGTCGGAGCAAGCATGCAACTGCGTGCGGAGAATGCGCGTCTGGAGTTCCAAGCACCCCAATGGGTGCGCCCTGGCGAGCTCGTTGAACACCTCTTGGCTCGCAGCCTCTGCAGTCGGGCTGATTTCCATCAGGAGCTTCATGAATGCCAACGGCCCTGGAGCACCCTCACCGTGCCCCGAACGGCCACGAGTGCGATCAGCGTGGTTCTTGATTTCTGCTTTCATGCTCTTGTAGATAGCGGACTCGAGTGGAATCTTGAAGCACAGGAAGGCGACAGCGAGAACGGCACGAAGCTCTTGAGCATTCTTGAGGCATAATTTGGCAAGGATCTTCACCAGCTCTTGAAGTTTCGTGGCCGGGTCCACCCCCAAGCGGCGAGACTTATCCTGGCGCTCTCCGGCTCCCGCCCCTCCAAGCCGTTTGAATTCATCTCCCCATGCGTCCATGCCGGCGGTCGGGAGCACCAGCCACGTCGCCATCAGCACGGCAAGCAGGAAGCGAGCGCGAGCCATACGGACAGCTTCCCGCCCCAGCCGCCGCCCCACTACCAGGAACGGATCCGCCACCGCCACCGCCACCGCCGAAGGAAAGAGGAGGGCAAAGACCAGGAGGAGGAGGAGGAGGAATGGCAACACACTTCCACTGAGACGTCAAGATCCCCTCATCGACCCAAACGAACTCTTCCTGGCAGTCTTCGTTCGTGAACAGCAGAAGCGGACGTGCGGCAGCATCGATAATAGCCCCATTGTCCAAGAGACTGCCCAATGCTTCCAAATCAGAACACAACTGATGAGCCCAAGGGTGCGCACGAGGATTGACCGCGCCGTCGGGTGCCACGGGGGCTCGGGCCTCGTCGAAGGGAAGCTCGCCGAAGAATACGGCCAGCAATGGCACAAAATCCTGGGGAAACCGAGCTACAGTCTGCCACCAGCGAAGACGTGCCTGCCTCGATTCTAGAGACACCGGTACCAGCCGGAGAGCCGTGAACACAGCATCGTTGGTCCAGCACGTACGAACAAGTCTGCAACAAGTCTGCCATCAGGCGCCGTATGCATAGAGAAGGCTGCTCCATGGAGGGCTGCGCGAGCCATCTTGGCCCCAGCAGCATCTAAAGCATTGCAATCTGCCGAGGAAACGACCCAAGCAGCGCCAGCACTCGTAATCGAAGAGTCGATAAGGCACCGAAGCACAATGCTTGTTCACCGGTGATACCTGTTGTGGGCGAAAAAACTACTCATGAGATGATATGCACCCCAAGCGGCTTGCACACGACGCTGCCGTTCCGGAACGAAAGATCCCGAGTAATTCACGTGAGGCCCCAAATACCTGCAAGACGCAAGAACACGACCATTGACCTGTCCTCCTCCGCCTCCTCCCCCACCGCCAGCTCTCCCGTGCCGATCACCCCCTTGTCCTCCGTCTCCACCGTGACTCCCCGAACCGTCATGTCCATCCTCTCCTCCACCAGTACTATCGGCATTGCGTTCAGCAGAGAATAGGATCCGAGTGGTAGCAGAAGACCCCGCACCAAATAGATGTGGTTGCTGCTCTTGCTTGCTGTGGTTCTGTGCCAACGCATAAGCAAAAAGGCATTCATCCAACCTGGAATCGCAAAGGCGCGATTCATCCTGAAATTCAGGTACACGGTTGTCACACAAGAAGGTGCGAGCGATGTCGTCGGCGTACGTACTGAGAGAGGCATCGACGCCGTGAAGCCCCAGGTCGCCGATGCCATAGTGCAAACGCCACCACGGCTCTGGGGCTTTGGTAAGCAGCCGGCCTTGAAGCCACGGGAGACGAGCCACGCACCGAGGCTGAGGTACACACGCCAAGAACCGATCGATGGCCCAGTGGAAGACACCCAAGAACCGAATTCGGCGCTACCGTGTCGCCAGGTAGAGCGCCACTCCCGAATCGAAGTGTCAAAGGGCCGTCCGTTGTCTCCACGGTAAGGCACGCGTTTTGCAACCGTTGCTGCATAAAACGCTTGTCGTCAGGATCGTCATAGCACTCGTAAGAAAGTGCAACTAGGTCTGCATGCCGAGGGCAATGGAAAGCATTCGAGAGGTCGTAGAATTTCGTGGCGTGAGAAGCTTTGGCCGCACGAAG